ACCTCCTATACGAATACATTCTGGAAACCTGCATTGGAGATCCCTCATCTCAACTGGGATACTGCGAATTTCATCCCGAATTCTCATCCACAGTTCTTGGTCGAGTTGTGGACACTTTTGTTTTGAGATAGCCCCACAAAAAACTCACTGCGCAGCTTTCAAACTATCACCGTTTTTATAAAACATATTTATGGCTAAAGCACGTTGTTGCCCGTTCCACTGATCCATGGCTACTGTAATGGCGGCTTGTTTACTTGCTCATTGTTGCTGTCCCGCAGTGCTGCCACCTTCTCACGCCTGCTACTACGCGTTTCAAAAATTCCCGTTATTCTGGGTAACCCTGTATTAATTTAACTAATTATGTTTCCGCTGCTATCATTTAAATTAAACTAACAACATTCGTGGAGAAAACCATGTGTGATGTTGTGATTTTTAGCACTCATCTACTTATCAAAAGTTATTAATTATAATCACTGTACGTAAGAAGTGGGGTCGTTTATAAAACAGATTGACGACTGTAATGCGGATTATTTGCAGATGAGATGGGAAGTTCAACATGTGACAAATCGTACTAATCTCGCTATACTTTGGGATAAAACAAATCCAGCTCAAACCCCAATCTTTGTTCCCCTTCCTTTAATCGCGATTCGCGAAATCGACTAAAGAATAAAGTAGTAACTTCGCAGTTAATTAAAAAAATTATGGGCAACTGGTTTGAATTTGCTTCCTTTATTGTAGCATCAAAATCCCATAAAGTAAAATTGGATCTCTCAAAGAACTTTGTAATAAATGTAACAACGCACACCGTGTATCCCATACTCCCACATAAATTTCATTTTATGGATACTAAACATTTAATAAAGCCTCATATTCTATTATAGAGGAGAAATGCCATACGACATTTAGTGCCTCACATGAAAGCAGGTGACACAACAAGCAGACACGCAACTCTACAAATCGTGCCAGATTGCAACATTTTATTAATCCCGGGTAATTACATTCGAAAATAAATCACGTTTTAAATTATTAAAGAATGGGAGGGTAAAAAAGCGGGGAAGATATCTACCGGCCGGATGTACCGATCCAATTAAAACTTGATTAATTTAGAAAGTCCGAGATTAATTTGGATCGCGCAAACAAGTTAAATTTTATGGTGTACCAACTTACGTTTAAGAATGTGTAAATTGCCCAAGTTTAACTAAGTTGTTACATGGTTGAGGTATTTGCGACGCCGTTAACCTTACATCTTGTACCGAAAGAGGACACTTTTGGTTTCCCGTAAACCGTGGAAGTTAATTGATCTCGTTGGTCATTAAAAGAAACAGAGTTTTCCAAGAGGCAAACACTATAAACCGTGCTCGCTTCCGTTTTAATGGATATTCCTTGTATATTGCCTATAAATTAAATTTTTATTGCTGCAGCGACGGTTAAGTCCATGTTTTAATGTTTTAGGTAATGCTGTATGCATTTTTCGCCGAGGCGTTTTTATAAGGAAGCGGATTTTCCGAGACGTTTTACACAAATCATAAAATGGTCTAAGTGACGTGTTTATTAACATTACACGGCTGAATAATTCTTTAGTGTAAATTGTTTACAGAAAATGACCGTCATAAAAAAACTTATGGCGAGGTATTTTGTACAACATGCCATTTACATAATGCGATAAATTAACCGATGTGTATGTAAATGCGGTTGCAACAGAAACGGAAACAACGAAGAAACTCATCCTACGACGAGGAGGAGCGTAAAATTGCGACCGGATTACAATTATTCACTCAAATCCTCCGGTAGATACAATTAATATAAATTTAATTAAGTAAAAAAGGGGAAACTTGGGAAGTTATCCGACATCGATTTTCGTAATTCGGAAATGATCAAGTTACGCACGGAATATTTATGATTCTCGATACAAATTTTCTACAATATCCTAGTTCCTTTGCTTGAACTCAATAAGTCCTTTTCCTTTGAACGAATACTAATGGCAATTTCTATTATGTTCGATATTTTTGTTGCGCATATTTACTTGCTATTCACAACCTATCGTTACATTTTCTATATATGAATAACTTATTACATGGTCTTCAACTGATCAAATTATATGCAATGTACGAGGTTATGCAGTAATCCAAATGTCAATACCAATATCATGCACATATTGACAAACAAGCAAGAAAAGACTCTGTTTCTATGGGTGTACTAGAAAATGATGATACGGGTCATTTTCGTGGGTGAATTCTTCCAAATATCGACTGTAAGAGGAAATATGTATATAATGCTCGACCGCTTTGAAATCACGTTCTGAGGACTGAGTTATGAATTTTAAGCTTCATAGCAGTCATTAGTTTTTCTTTGTTCTTCCAACATTCCTTTTGCGTTCCGTTCACCTTCATTATCAAGTCAGTTCGCTTTCTCTATCGCCCTTTTCCTCGAATCTTACCGTTCGGCTCCTCCAAGGCTATCCTTATCTTTTCCATTTATGTTTCTTCCTCTACAATTTGGTGTCCTTCCGTTTAACCCAGGGGATAAACACCAGGGGAAGTAATTGTACAAAATGGAGGAAGTTATGAGGAAGTTCGGGGAAGTACTGGAAGTCCAGGGAAGTACGGGGAAGTTCGAGGAAGTAAAGAGGAAGTACTCATTTGTTCATAAGATGCGAAATGTGACAGAAGGTGACCGGAGAGGTAAAATTTGGTAAACACTTGAAAAGTAATAAGGCAATTATTTCCGAGGGCATAAATCCCGCCTCGTTCCAAAAAAGTCAACACCTATGATTGTAATTATCTATTTCCACTTGTAAAGCAGGCTTTCTCGCCAGTTGTTCAAAGTAGTCAATAATGTGGTCATTATTAACCAGTAGTCAATAATGAGAACTGTCACTCTATCACTTTTAGAAATCACAACCCGAAATTTCGCTCAATAAACGTTCAGATAAGTTCTCTAAAATGAATAATTGCCACTATCGGTCATTTTCAGAGAAATTACATACTTAAAATTATCACATTTTGAAGAAATTCGAACTCTTTGAAAATATCTCAATAACAGAACAAAATACGGCCTTCTTGACTGTTACTTCCACGCACTTGATTAATAAACCAAAAATTCTGTTCAACCGTTCACTTTTTTAACAATATACCTAGATCTGTTAATTTAGAGGACTTCAAGTACTATGCGATCAAAAATGAGTTGCTGTCGAGTCGCCTTTGGAATTTTTGTTTACATGGTAAATCGTACATAACTTGAATTTCCAAAGGCGACTGGACAGTACCTCATTTTTGATCGCCCGTTACTAGTAGTAAAAAAAGTAGTATACAGGATGTCTTAAATTGAGTAGGTAACATTGCCATCTTTGTTATTATTATGCTTACAGATTTGGTTAAATTGGAAAAGTTGTATAGTTTTTGATGCTAATGGATATTCCGATGTGAGATTTTGAAAAAATAAATCGTTTCGTAGATAATTGATAAAAAATGAAAAATCGCCATTTTAAAGAAATTCAAATATTTTAGTAACAAACAGAGCTATCGAAGAAAGTTTCAAATAAAAGTTGCAAGATTCGATGGGATAAATTCAATGGATATACAATAGAATTTTTTTTTCAAAATGGCGGTTATCGAGATATTGACATCAACTTCCTTGTTTTGAATGGGCGCCATATTGGATTTTTAAGTCACTCCATAGAGAAAACTAAAATATTTGAACGTTTTTAAAATGGCGGTTTTCACATTTTTCCAATTATCTACGAAACGAATTATTTTTTTCAAAATATCGCATCAAAGACTACACATAAACTTTGCCAATTTAACCGAATCTGTAAGTATAATAATAACAAAGATAGCAATGTTATCCTACTCAATTTAAGACACTCTGCATACACCACGATAGAGAAGTCTTTTTTTTATAGCATTAGACTACGTCTATTTGCCACAGAACTATTATTGAATAGCGCGGATTGATGTTAAATTTCTATTTTGGATCTAACTAAAAATCGTATTAAAATATCGCACACTTCTTTATATGAATAAGACAAAGGAGTAGGGACGCTAATGGGGAGAGGAATATTAATATCAATTAGATCTTGATATAGAAGAAAGATAGGATCTGCATTTACCTTGCAATTTAAGATTATATGGTTTAGATCTCAAATACTTTCATTATCACAAGTACAAAGGGGGGAATCAATTATACCAATCCTATGAAGATGAGCTCGAAAACGGCCATGATTGAGTTTTAAACGTGTTATAAAAATGGAATGAGTTTTCTTATAATTGAACGTAAAGTGTGGAATGGTTTTTGGTAAGGACGAGTGAATACTGAAATACTGACTTTTAGAGTTATTTACAATTTCTTTGTAAAGAGATTTTCAAGAGTTTTTGGTATTACTTTTGAAAACATTAATTCAATCTTTAAAATTACGCACCTTACATCCTTCGGTGCAAGCGCCTCAGGGTGTAATTTTCGTGCTTAGGCAATAATACTAGACTTCTCTATCTTGGTATATACCTAATGTACTATTACATAAAATCACATAAAATATCAATAATATCAACCTCTAACCTTATAATGAAAACAGAAATTTTGAAAAATCTTGAATAGCTTGAAAACCTTTGATGCTGGGTATAGGGAAATGTGGTATCAAACGATGTAGATCTTCATGTAGATGCCGCAAATACAATATAGGGTGTTCTATTTAAAATAAGAAAGTTGCTATCCACATCCGGTAAAACTGGAAGTGACACAATGATGATATTTTCTTTCGATAGATTATGGAAAACTATATGTTAGTATGCACATTTTCAGATTTCAATTATTAATGGGAGTCTGAATACTTTTAAGTAACGGTTTGCGTGATTACCGATAAATTAGTATTGTTAAATATCCATCTATGAATAGGTATTATTATTATTCCGTTGTATATATATATATAATCAAAAAAACCTCTTACCCTGGAGTGTGAGGTGTTCATAATTACAATACTTATTTGATACATTGTAAAGTTAGATCTATTCCTGTGGTTGGGGATACCTTTCTTTCAAAAGCATTTTCCACAGTGTCTTGTTCCTGGACAGCGTTTTTGCCTCCATCCATGTTTTTCCTCTTGTATCCAAAACTGCTTCCACTTGTTGGTTCCACGTTCTCTTAGGTCGTCCCCTTCCCCTTCTGCCCTGGCCTTTGGCTTCCCATATACGTTTGACTGGAATGTTGTCGTCCATCCGGTTTAAGTGACCGAACCATCTTAGTTGCTGTGTTTCTATTGTCTGGATTACCGTTTCCACTCCTAGTTCCTCTCTGATTGTGTCATTCCTTATTCTGTCGTATCTTGTTATTCCTTTTATCCTTCTTAAAAACTTCATCTCCATTACTTGCACTTTACTTTTTATTGCGCTTGTTATGTTCCACGTTTCACTCCCGAATGTTAGTATTGGCCGATATATTGTTTTATACACTGTCATTTTAGTTTTGTCACTGACTTCCCTTTTTGAGATGAATTTGTTCCTTAGCGCGTGATATAATCTTGCTGCACTGCTAATTCTGTCCTGCACTTCTGCATCCATGCTGCCGTCTCTATGTATCAGTACTCCCAGGTATTTATATACGTCCACCTGTTCAATTTTGTCTGACCCAATTTCTATGTCCATGCTTCTGTTCTCCTTTCCAATTACCATGACTTTCGTTTTGTTACAATTGATTCTCATGTTCCTCTTCTCCAGTTCTTCTTTCCATGCCCCTAAGTTCATTTGCAAGTCCCGTTCACTTTTCGCGCATATCATTAAATCGTCCGCGAACACACATTCACTTATTTCTACCGGTTGTAGTTTATTATACCCTACCTGCACTTTCTTTACTGTTTTACGCACCTCGGATATCAAAAAGCAACTGGAAGATTTAAATAGAACGTCGGAACGAATCGAAAGCAAAATTGATGACTGCCAGAAGCAGATAAACGAAATTAAAAATGAGAATGCTAATTTGAAAGCGGAAAACGAGCAGTTGAAATCAACGGTCGCACAACAAAACTATAGAATTGGATATCTGGAAAAAGAGATCAAAAGAAATAACCTGGTAATTCAAGGTGTAACGGAGGCAGACGACGAAACGAATATACAACTAAAGGAAAAAATGGAAACCATACTAAGAGACATGGGAACTCCGATAACTTTCGAAGCCGAAATCCAAGAACTGCATCGTATAGGAATAAAACACGCAAACAAAACACGACCCATATTCATGAAAATGCGAAACTATGAAACTAAAGTAAAGGTAATGAAAAGCACAAAAGAATTAAAAGGTACACAAATCTATATAACAGAAGATTTTCCAAAACATGTTATGGAGGAACGAAAAGTATTGAGCAAGCACTTAAAAAAGGCAAGAGAAATGGGACATAGAGCTTTCATGAAGTACAACAAACTAATCGTAAACGGAGAAGAATACGGAGTAGAAGATATCTTTGAAGAATCAAGCAATGAAATACCTGAACAAGATGCCACGAAGAAAGGAAGAACGATCAGTCAAAGGTCCCCTCAGAGCGTGGTTTCTAAGAGGACGAATAGCATGTGTTGTCTACTAAAAAACTGATACATAACGAGCAACACAGTACAAAGGAGACGACACTGGCAATGAATAAAGGTAACGAGATGGAACAAATAAATCTATGGAAATTCGGAACATGGAATATACGAAGCATAAACGGAAAAGAGGAAGAGTTGATGAGAGAATTTAAACAAGAGAAACTAGATATTATAGCAATATGCGAAACAAAGAAGAAAGGACGAGGAGCCATTGAGATGGATGAGGGAGATGTACTCCTATATAGCGGCGTAAGCGAGGAAACGAGAGCAAGAGGGGGGGTAGCATGTATAGTAAGTGCACGGCATGCAAATAAACTAATCCAATGGGAATTTATTAATGAAAGGATGCTAAAACTACAAATAAAATTACATCAAAAGGACCACACAACAATATTAATAGCATATGGACCAAATGAAGACGAAAGCGAAGGTAAAAAGGATGAATTCTGGGAAGCACTCTCGGAAAATACGGAAAATATTGCAGAGAGGCTTATAATCATGGGAGATCTGAACAGCAGAGTGGGAAAAAAGATGGAGGGAACACCAGATGTAATCGGCCCTTATGGCGAAGTACACCGAAATAAAAATGGAGATAGATTAATTAACTTTTGCGTAGAAAATAACCTAATAATAGCAAACACATACTACAAACACAAAGACATACACATGTACACAAGAGAGGCGCAAACTAGGGGAGAGAAGTCAATAATAGACTATGTGCTAATAAAAAGAGAATATAGGCACGAAGTAATAGACGTGAGAGTGAAAAGGGGCCCAGACATCTATAGCGACCACTATCTAGTAGAGGCAAAGCTACGAGTCAGAAACCAGATGCAAATAAAGCAAAAACATAGACCACATCCGCAACAGGTACATGAGAAGATAAGAACGTATAAATTAATGGATAAAGAAACTGGAAACATATATACAGAAAAAATAGAAAAACATTTACTAGAAACTAGGCATGAGTGGCGAAACATGGACCTAAAACATATATGGAAATATTTTAAAGAGATAATACTATCGACAGCAGAGGAAACATGTGGATCAATAAGGATAAGAAAAAATAAAAAACAAACAAGCTGGTGGAATCAATCTATACGAGAAGAGGTAAGGAGCAAGAAAGAAAAGTGGAAACAATATCTGATACGAAAGACGGAGGAAAGCTATAGCAAATACAAGCAACAACGAGTAAAAGTAAAAAACATGATAATAGAGGCAAAACGACAAGCCTGGATGGAGTTCGGTAATAAAATGGAAAAAGACAGTAAAACCAACCAAAAACTCTTCTATAGGGTATTAAAAAGTATGAAGAAACCTAGGGAATACAAAACCATGCACTTAAAGGACAAAAACCACAAAATAATCACAGACCAGGGAGAAGTAATGGAAAGATGGAGGGAATACTTCCAAGAACTACTTAGCAATAACAGACAACAAGACACTACAAATAAACATGTAAGAAATGAGGCAGTAATAGAAGAAGAGGCGGATGCCATAACAATGGAAGAGGTTATACAGAGAGTAAAAGCGCAGAAAAAAGCAGCAGGACATGACAAGATAGCACCGGAAATGATACAAAAATTAGGAAAAAACGGAATAGAAATGCTCACCACAATTTTAAATAAAGCTTGGCAAAGAGGAGAAGTGCCAGAGGATTGGAGAATAGGAGTGATAATCCCGATACACAAAAAAGGAGACACAAAGGATTGCTCAAACTACAGAGGCATAACCATCTTAAGTAACGTCGCAAAAATATATGAAGGGGTCCTAGAGAACAGATTGAAGCAGCAAATCGAACACCAACTAGACAATGCACAAAGCGGTTTTAGAAAAGGCAGAGGTATACAAGATCATATATTCACCATCAAACAGATAATGGAAAAAATTATGGAATACAACAAACAAATATGCTTAGCATTCGTGGACCTGGAAAAAGCTTTCGATAGAGTTCCGCAAAGATTAGTGTGGGAAAGTTTAGAAAGAAGAGGAGTTAATGCAAAGTTAAGAAGGGGAATAAGAAGCCTGTATACAGAGAATAGGAATTATGTACGTAAAAACAACACACAATCAAAAACTTTTAACGTGGAAGACGGTCTGCGACAAGGAGGCGTGCTTAGCCCAACACTATTTATAATAATAATGGATGACGTTGTATATGTTATCATAAAATTTAGCAATAAATGCTGGCAGGTCAATTATTTATGTCTTAATTTCTTTCATATTAAAAATTCATTCAAACCTCATATAAATACAAAGGTAAATATTAAATAGATAGTGTGAAAATAAATAATAATTAACACTTATCTAATTTTTCATCTCATGTTTAGTATTCATTTCATATCCATTCGTATTTCGCATACAATGCATTTTCGTGGACACGTTATAAGCGTTACTACGTATAACATTGAAAAAGCCAATCTAAAGTCTATATCAATGTCTACTTACAGTGGAATTTCGGGAAAGTACAAAGGAAGTTTGTAGGAACTACTAGGGAAGATCGGAGGAAGTACAAGGAAGTACTGGAAAGTAAGGGGAAGTACTGGGAAGTAAGGGAAAGTATACTGAAGGACTTCCCCCGAAGGGGAAGTATTGTACAAATTTTAGGTCTGGTGATTACCCCCTGGTTTAACCCTTCCTGTAATACTTCTTCCAGTTCCTCCCGTTCCTTCCACCCCCTTATGTCCGTTCCGAAAATGAGCACCCCTCTCACCATTGCATCGGATGGGTACTTTCTTGTTCTAAAATCATTCTTGAACCCCCTCTTTCCAATTCCCCACACCAGTCTCATCGCCACCACCCCCTTTTTCCTTTTCTTTCCACTTCAGACCGTTTAACTTCTATTCTTTCCCTCGACCTTTTTTTTTATTTCCAGTTATTTTTGTTTTGTTTGGGAGTGCTATCGCTTCACGATAGACTTCTTAATTTACAGCATTCTTGAGGCTGAGACGCGGGTGTGGATATTCAAGAGAGCTAAACCAACCTTTGGTATACCGTTCCATATTCTACTCTTCTTGTTTCCTTTCATTTCCCCTATGTGTGAGAATTCAGAGCCTCTCGGTGTGTAAGTCGCTGGCAGCTGTGTCCTCTGTTAACCCACCCTTTTTTGTAGGTTAGGCAGAAGCTTGGGAATGCAGGTGTGCCAGTGCAGCATACTGGAACTCGTCTACAGTACTCGCAAAGATATACGACGAAAAATTTAGAAATAACAGATAATTCAAATCCGCCTTATAGAATTTAGTTTGTGAAAATCATGGGCTATTACAAAAAGTCTTATCCAATTTTAAGACGAGTTTAGTTTGATATAGCAGTATTGTTCACAAATTACATGAAAATTTTATCTAAAGGGGTGTATAAAAGTTAATTGAAGTTGTAATTGCACAAGGGATACGTTGCGGACGCCGAACTTTTCTGTTTACTTATTTATAAGATAATTTTAAACTAGGTATATGAAGGAAACGGCGTCCAGAAAATCTGTGATAATAAAACGACAGCAAGCAATTCTCCCCGCTATTATGTTTTATGTGTTGCGATATAGGTTAGTAGATTGGGTATAAAATATTTCATGAGCATTGCGGTACGAAATTTACGGAGGAGACCGAATAGGAGACTTTCAGCAAACTGACGTGATCCAAAAATACTACATCGCTGCATTCGGCGAGATAAAGAAACAGCGCGTCCACGTTTTTATTTAGAAAAAATGTAAGATTTATGTTTAAATTATTTTTTCTCGTCGCAGGAATACGATCAAAACAATTTGCCACTCTGTTCCTTTGCTTTTCGAAATAGATTTAATTTAGTTCAGGCGCCTGACGTTGACACATGTCAGATTGCATTTTCAGCGGAATAGTTAAAGCTGGAATACTGAAATAATATAATTTGTCAAGAAATGAAACCTCCCCCTACTATTCTCCTTTTTTTATTCAAATACCGATCGACCGAAGTAATTTTACGTGAGGGAATTTTCCCTCTTTTCTTTCTTATGCGATTTAAATAAAATGGGAATAACAGAAAAACATTTTACTTTTGCCAGCTCTAACTGCATCAAATAAAAGTTTGTGCTAAGGAAAAAAAGGAGCTAACCGAGTTATGCAAGTTTCCCGTAGCCTAGTATCTGGTGGAAACTATAAAGGAAAATTCTATATATCAAACTTTCTTATTTCAACCGGGTGTCGTTTAAGGAATAATACACTTTTGAT